CAAAGGTCTCTAAATTCCTTAGCTCAAATAGTTTACATTGCTAAATATTTAACTAAAACCAAGATTACATTGGCTCATTTAATAGAACTTATAGATAAGCCAATTTTATAACCTTGCCTTTTGGCTTGGTTTTTGGCTCTTGGTTTTAAGGTTAATGAGTGCCTGCCCACCTCCATTCTCATTTGGCCTAGAACATTTAATTGGCATAAGTCTTTGGGCTGTAAGTTCCCTGGCAATAGGAGTTCCACCAAGGAACAGAATGGGCGTGGGGCTGCCAGCTACACCATCCCGGCAATAATATGGGACAAAATAAAAATTTGGCCATTTATGCTGCCTCTGGCAAATCCCAGACAAAATGGGGAAATGAGAAATAATTGTGTTAGGCACTTCTTAGTGTTGTTATAAAGAAACACCTGTGACTGGGTAATTTATAAATAAAAGAAGTTTAATTGGCTCATGGTTCTGTAGGCTGTACAGGAAGCATGGAGCTGGCATCCACTCCTGGTGAGGCCTCAGGAAGCTTCCAATGATGGAAGGCAGCAAACATGTCACATATGAGAGCAGGAGCAAGAGAGTGAGGAGGGGGACATCCCAGACTTTTAAAAAACTAGATCTCAAGTGAGCTAACTGAGTGAGAGCTCACTCAACCCCAAGGGGGATGGTGCTAAGCCATCCATGGGGGATCTGCCCCCCTGATCCAGTACCTCCCACCAGGTCCCACCTTCCACACTGGGACTCACAGTTCAACATGAGATTTGCAGGGGACAAACATTCAAGCCATATCAATAATAAAATCCAAGCTCCCCAACCAAATGAAAAGATCCCCTTTTGACCAAGGGGACTCAGAGAAGCCTTGGAAGCTGAGTTGCTGGGCATGATGGGAGGAGCGTTCGGACACACCTCATTACACAGTCTCACTGGCTAACTACCATTAGGCCGTCTTCCCTAAGGGCTAAACAGAAAGCAGCCCTTTCCAAAGACTCCACACTGATAATGTAGATTGCCAGCTTATCTTCCCAGGTACAAAACAAAGACAAAATGAAATTAATTGTTCCTTCACCCCTCCCTGAGACATCTGCTTCCTCTATTCTCTTTTTCTTCAAATTTTATTTTAGTAAAATGTAGAGTTAGTGGGCACTGTCTGAGGTCTCACAGGTATGTAACCATTCCCCTCACTGCCAGCCGCCACCAACCCCTTTAGGGAAATTATATAAAACCTTCTGAGAGCTTCTTTGGAAAAAGAAAAACAGCCACAGATCTGTCTATGTGGCTTGTGAGTTTTTCCCAGGCACGCCCTCAAAGCTGGCTTAATAAACCTTGATTGATGGGGACACCTGCCTCAGTCACTCATTTTGGTTATCAACAACTACATAAAAAAGAAAATATTTGCAGTTTAGACTATTACTTAGCAAGGATACTTACTGAAAACCATAAAATAAGAAAACTATAGACCAATGATTCCTAGTCTTCCAAAGGTTGAGTTGTACCTGAGGCAGTGGGTTGTTGCCAATAAACGGGTGGATTCTCTGCATGGCAGGGGAGGAGGGGGCCTCCTGTGGCACTTCTGTCGTGCTGTGGTTTACAGCTTTCAGGCAAGAATGAGCCTTCATCATCTTTAAACCCTAGGGTCCAGCACAGGACTTCCTTTATTTTGGGGTTTATTCTTAGCCATCTCAAGTCCGTTTTAAAGAGAGATTGAGTGTGATCACAAAATAAACAGGAGAAAACACATTCTGATCTTCCCTGCCAAGACCAGCTCGGCCATGGAGACCTCAACCCAGGTGGCGCTGAAGGAATTAAGAAACAGATACAGAGACAGAATTCAAAAGGTAGGCTCAGGGGGCTGACAGCCTTCCCAGCTGAAAGCCTAGAGTAGATTCTGACCCATGTATTTATTCTTTACTTTCCAGTGATCTGTTTAACAAGCGGATGCTCCATGTTCTTTCATTGGTTAAAGGTAAACTAACCAGGCAGCTAGTGTATGTTCACCACAGGTTAAAGATAAACTAGAAAGCATTCTTTACAAGGGAACAATGGAGGCAGAGTCACATGTCCTGTGTTTAAGGAACTAGTTCTTCTGGTGTGAGACATATACATATTGTTTACTGTTTTAGAACACCTTGAGGGTTTTTTCTGCTTTGGGGGGCTTGGTTTACCTTGCCGTCACTCTCAGCAAACAATAATATATTTCATCACACACGTCAGAATTTGCTCTCAGCACTTCTCTTTCCATGGGAGCTGCAAAGGGCACAGGCCTTGTCTTGCCCTGACCCAGACCCCAAAGGCACAACTGTGCAAAAGCCACTCCCACTGGTGATGTCTCTTGGTTCATTCTCAACTTCAAATACCTATAATTTAATTTTAAGCACCCTTAATCATGTGGATACTTCAACTACCCCCTCAACACTTCCCAGCCCATGTCTGGTTCTGATCAAGCCAGCCAGCCCTGGGGGCTTTCTCTTTCTCCTTCTGTGACTTTCAATGGACACATGACCTTCTGCTCAGAGCCAGCTTATTGCTGAAGAATAAGAGGCTTACAGAGATGACATTTCTTGTCCCATGTCTACTTAATTTGGGCAGCAACTGAGTGAAAGCCCCCAACTTGTAACTCAGCGGCCTTTCCATGTTCCCTTGTCTGGCTCCTGATCCTCAGTCCTGTTTCCAGACTTATGAATCTTGGAATATTTGTTTGGGGAGGACATCCTTAGATAACCCACACTTACTTGCATGGTTGACCCCCACATTGCTGAAACCCTGTTAAGATAAGGAGCAGCACTGCACCGCCAGGCCAGGCCGGCCTGCCGGGGAGAGCTTTGGGCCATGAATCAGCTGCTGTTTGGTAGGCACTGCACTAAGCACTGACCCATTTTGTCAGCACTGTGAGGTGCAGATTCTACCCATTTTCCAGATGAAGGAACTGTGGCTCAAAAGGACACATGATTCAGCAGTGAGATACTTAAGCAGGATTCACAAGTCAGCGTGTCAGCAAAGCCAGATGCCAGCTAAGATGGACCAGAGGTGCTGTGGGCTCTTCAGGCAGGTGACGCTTGGTGATACCCCCACTGCCAAGCTCATTTGTCTCCAAGTGACACCCTGTGAGGCAGCCCTGGGTAGTACAAGGGCTCCTGTGACAGCCACAGGAGTAGGTGTAGCCCTAGGCTACTGGTGCTCTCAGAGCTGCACAAACACTACTTTCTAAGAAACCAGTACAACTACTTTCTAGTGAGAAGGGAGGGCATCTCCCAAAAACTGGCTATGTCCCAGCCATCTGAGTGGCTAAAAAAGTCTCTCTGATCTGTGCCTCACTCCAGCTTTAGAAGTGGGACCTCCTTGTCTAAGCCGCTCTTCCAAAATGAACTGCACAGTCAAGGGACGGATGTCACACTAGCAGCTTATGCTAGCTCAGAGGGACAGAAGCCACTCATTACAACACAGCAGAGATGCAGGCTAAGTGGCGGCCAGGGGCCATGAGGCAGGCAGTCCTGTCCTCATTTTGTCCCCATGGTGGAGGGGACAAACAGGGCCTTCCTGGCCAGCGAGCCCTGGACTTGGATCCAGTTAAACCAATTCTGAGCCTTAATTTCATCACTCCAATAACGGGCACAGTAACACCCATTACACAATAATGAGGTACAATCGCTATTGCAAAGGACAGCGGGATTGTAAATTCAAGAGCTGGAGGGAAACATGTGGCAAGTTTTTTTCATTATCACTTTTCAACAACCTATGTTCTACGTTCTCCAGAGTCAAGCTCCAGCCTTTCTCCTCTGCAAGCTCCCAGGGTTCTGCTCTCCGCTATCTGTAGAGGACATCCCTTGCCCACTGACTGTTGCCCACACAGCTGTCTGTGGCTTCCGCTGGGACTCAGGGAACGCCTCCTGTCAGGTGCACACTCCATTCTTGATGGGGGCTTCCAACCTGGCCTGTGCACTCTGGAATCAGGGACTGGCTGGACCTCAGACAAACTTCAAACACTGTAAGCCCTGCCTTGCATAGGGCCTGGGCCAGGAATGCCCCCGACAGAAGTACTTGCAGACTGAGGTCTCGGCCAGCCTGCCTCACCTTCCTCAGTGTGGCTGAACCGGGGAGGAGGAGAGAAAGGCTGCTTCTACCATCCTCTTCCTCCCCACAAAGGGCCAGCACACCCTGGGCCAGCGCTCAGGACAGGACTGCCTGCCTCATACTCTGCTAGATACGCAGCTGAAGCACTTCCAGAGGAGACCTTTAGAAAAAGGAAACAAGGCCGAGTTCAGACGGAGTAAATTATCTCAAGAACTCAGATCACTAAAATTCTTTAAATTAACAAATACACTTTTAATTGATCTCAGATAAAAACTACTCAAGGAAGGTCAGTGATTGTTTTAGTCCCTAACCTGTTAGAGCTGTATGGTGAGCAGCCTTGAGTAGCTGGGTTAACTGGTTATTTTCCCGAATTCCCACCAACCATGGTATTAGAAAAAACAAGGCATTGTCTCCATTTAGGATAAACACATGGCCTGGCAACCAAATCCAGTCTCTCACATCCCGTATTTTTTCTTTAGCTCTTCCACTTTGTTGATGTAAGCTTTCATGGCATCTTCCTTGGTAGTCCCTGTAAGGAATCAACAGGATTATCTGTCAGGGAGGCAGCGTGGTAGGAAACAAGCAGCCTTCAGAGCCCCAGGTAGCTCTGCTGGAACCCTCCTAGGCTCAGCTTCTCACTTAGAAAGTTGGGCTTCTACTAATTACATGTTGGAGGAGACAGTATCTGAAGTGAATGCTCCACAAGCCACTGTACTCAGAAAGCCTGGTGGGGCTGGCCAAGACCTGTCGCCCATCTGCTGGCCACCTGCATCCTCCACCTGTCCTGGGGGAACGGCCAGTGTGAGCCTCCCTCCAGACAGGCAGAAACTGTCACCATTTCCTGGTGACTTTACTGGTCCTACTAACTCTTGTGGCTGGCACTGGTTTGGCTTTTTCAGTGTCTCTGTGTTTGGGCTCCAATCTCCCAGGGCTGTTAAGCTGGCAGTGAAAAAGCAAAGCCAGGCGCCCTTTCTCCCCAGAGACAGGCTATGAGAAAAGTTTCAGGAACTCTGATCAAAAGTAGCTGCTTCTTGGAGGGGAATGAGACAAAGCTTTGTCTTCTTGCTGCAGTAGAAAGGACACTGAATGTATCCTCAGAGACAGTGACACACAGTTTCCTGGATTCTGTGGTAAAGGAGAGAGACCCCCTGAAACTCAGAGCTTGTTCTCAAGCACGGGAAGGTACGTGGGGCCTGAGGCTGGTATGGAAATGTCCCATGAAAATGGCCAGGCATTCCCTTCCCAGTTACTTGCAGATCCTAGGAGTGTGTTTATTGTATTGTGGCCCTTTCTGAATTCAAGGGTTTCTCATTTGTAGAAAGACAGAGGGCTTATTCAGAAACTAGCCAGCGGGAACACTAATGTTGCCAGGAGCTTTGGTGCCAACTTTTGGGTCTTGCTTCTGCAGGTGGCACGTGATTAAGCAGGAGCTTGGATACTTCTTGGCTGCTGGTGCTTAGCATATAATGGCTCCATTCACTGAGCCTACGATGCCAGCAGCTTGCCATGCATTAGCTCATTCCCTTCTTTTATGTACCCTTCTGGCTGGGAGGGAACTGCGGAGGGCCACGGGAGATAGGGGGTCATCACCTAGCCTATGGGGGACAGAGAGGGAGCTGTAGACAGGAAACCACCCCTTACTCTGAACACATCCGAAGCCCACGCCAACTACATCACTTCCCAACCTATTTTGTGACAGCCTGGTCCCCAGCCCCTCCTCTCTAGATGATACTCTTGCTCAGAGATGGTGCTTTTAGAAAAGGCATAAACAGTGTCAGGAGAAAAAGTAGGTGGCCCGGTTTTTTCCCATTCTGGCACAGGTCAGACTGGTTTCCTGCACGTGCTCCATTGACTTTCTTTTCTCTCCTCTTCCCTTACACTTCATAGTGAAGACTCTTTCATTACCGGGTCTCACAAATGTGGGAAACTGATTAGAATAATTACCTTTCAGCTCATTCCAGGCATCCCACTTGGCCTTGCCCTTGAAGTCCAACATCCCGGGCCGTTCTTAAACAAGAGAAGAAAAGACATTAGATCTGCTTCAAATTTGAACGGAGAACTTGATAGACCTTCTTGCCATGAATGCCATCTTCTATTACACCTATTCCTTCTAGACTCTGTCATGGGGTTAAACGGGGCTGGTGGTATGGGTTCTGCCTTAAGAAAACCAGACGTATGGCAATCCAAACTTAAATCTAGAGAAAATGGGAAGAACACTATTCTCATTATAAGATAGTCTTTGTCTTACAAGCGAAATGACTCCAAAATTTCTCCTTTTAAAAATTATACTTTAATTATAATTTTTTTAAAAAACATACATTCATAAAGCTACAGAGAAAAATACTATAAAATCTTACTGCTGTTAGCTGCCCAATTTCTCTCCCTAATCATTAATGTTATCAGGTATCCTTTCCTATAAACTGTTTATATCCTAGCCCCATTTTTCTACCAAATTGTTAGTCTACTTCCTGCTGATGTGTGGGCATTTTCACTGAGGGTAAGGTTTCTTTAAGTTATATGATGACTTTATGCTTCTATACCTGTTATCATCTGCAGTTAGGAAACACACTCACCATTTCCCTGTTGTCCTATTTCACTACCATGCCCAGCTCCAGAGCCAAAGGGAACAATCAAAGTCCACAGCCTGAGCACTGTGCCTGAGAAAATGTCCCCAGGCGCTTTCAGGAAAGTATTCCCAGGGACATCTGAAACAAACTGTACTTGCAGTCATCGTCAGAATCCTAGAGGAGCATCCCTGGACACTCTCTCCACAGCCCTGGGAATGGAAATGTGCATGTACATTTGCAATGTCCAATTCAGGAGCCACCTGCCACACTGAGGACCTCAAATGACTACTAAGCACCTGAAATGTGGCTCCTGTGAATGAAGACTAAACTTGATTTTATTTAACTATTTCTATTTTCAGTTAATTTTTTTTTTAGAGATAAGAGTCTTGCTCTATTGCCCAGGCTGGAGTGCAGTGGCACAATCTTGGCTCACCACAACCTCTGCCTCCCGGGTTCAAACGATTCTCTTATCTCAGCCTCCCGAGTAGCTGGGACTACAGGCACGTGCCACCACGCCCGGTTAATTTTTGTATTTTTAGTAGAGATGGGGTTACACTATGTTGGCCCCATTCACATAGGCTGGTCTCGAACTCAGGACCTTGTAATCCACCCACCTTGGCCTCCCAAAGTGCTGGGATTACAGGTGTGAGTCACTGAGCCCGGCCTCAGTTAAAATTTATATAGTCATATGTGGCTACTGGCTATTATGCTAAACTGTTATGTTTGCACTATCATGTTTTATAATCGTGTAATAGGGCTGTACAGTAAAGCCCTAGACAGCGCTGATGATACCTCTTTGATCAGGAAGTGATAGGTTCCCACGCCAGTCAACCTAGACTCATGTGAAAACTGGTAACTCTAGTATGGGCACAGGCCAGTCTCTGTGAAAATATCGTTTGTCCCAAAAGTATCTCAGCACCTCTGGCCTCACCTGCTTCACCTTTCCTTCCCCTCCCTGGGAGAATTTATAAACTCACCGTAAAACTCATCTTCTCCACAAGACCTTACTCAACTAAGTGTTCCGTGGGAGCCGCAGTGTTTGATTTGGCACTGCCTGTGATCCTTCGCTCTGCGTGCCATTTCTTGCTTCCAACTGGCTGACAGCCAGCCCACCTGCTCCATCTTCTACCCAGCTACTGTGGAAATGGGGACTGTGCTCACCTTCCTCCTGAACAGGGGCAGGGGAGACCTTGCTTCTGTGTTGCCATGACAACTCTGAGTCCTTGCACAGAATGCACTGTGCTGTTGCCTCAGTATCCACTGGTTTCAGGGACTCAGGGGCAGAATGAAACCTGCCCAAGGCAGGAAAGATGATGTTATTACAGATGTGACAGTCCAAAGCACAGCCTCAAACTCTGTGCCGAGATTTTGGGACAGGGAACAGGCATCGTCAGGAAGGTACAGACTTGTCAGTGAAATGCTCTAACCTGGCCCAGGTGTTTCTCTGCTCCTGACATCATGCTTGGCCAGGCTGCCAAGTACTCCAACTTTGATCCTGCCCATCTCGGGTAGAAGCTGAATGGCTCAACAATGCTACCACTGAGCTGAGAGCTTAGAGCAAGTCTTTTCCGAGCTGCACCCTTTGCTTCTTCCCTAGCAGAGAGGAGCTGCTGGTGATAACCAGCAAAACCCTTCTAAAACCAGGATTTCAATTCTGCTGCTGGAGACACTGAGATTCCCGAACATGGTCTTTTCCACCCCAGGAACCATCGGTGCTTCGGGATGGGAATTGAGTATCTTCGCTTCTTCAATCTGTGCAACCCCTTCCACCATCTTTCCATACCCACGTGCAGAGCAGAGCCTCAGGCAGTTTGAAAGTGAAGTTCCCAGGTACTTGTACCAGAGCCTGCTTTGATGAGCAGAGGCCCTTACAATCCCCGCTCCACATACCTGTATTTATGTCGCCCACAGTCGCTTGTTTGTAGTGGCCATAGATGAAAAGCATCTCATCATCTCCTGGCTTGGTCTTAAGGTTCTTAACTTCTTCTGCAGCTTTCTCAAACTCAGCCTAAATGGCAGGGAGAGGAGAGGACTGAGAGCCTCCTCTGGGTGTGAGAGGGCAGGAGTCCTGCTGTGGCCTGAACAGAGCCCAGCTACAGGGATGGAGAGTTGGGAAAGGCTGCACCCTCCCTGCAATGCAGACCCTGAAGTGTGTCTGCCCCGCCCTGCCCCAAAAGGGCAGCTAGAAAGATTCAGCAACATAAACAGGGGAAGCCCGTCCAGTTCACTCATTCAATCGAAAACCATATATCCAGCGCTCTCACTAACGCAGGCATCTGGTCTGGAAATACAGGGGTAAAGAAGGCGGGCTAACCCTTTGCCCGCAGTGGGTGTCCACTCCGCGCGAGGAGCAGAGCGGCCAACTGCCCACTGGGCCAGGCACTATGGAGTGGTCGGGGTTCCAGAGAAGCCACGGCTTGGGGATAGAGGTGGCACAGCATGTTCGAAACAGCTGAAAGGGGACAGGGCACGAGTGCCACGGTGTCAGCGCCGGAGCCCGCTGGTCCCCTCCCCTCCCTTGGGGTCCGGGCGTTCAACGCCGACCTCTGTCTCCGTGCCCGGATTAGGAAAGGCAGGCGGGAGGAGCCAGAGGTCGCCCCACAAAGCTTGGTGCCAGACAAGGGTCTACACTAGAGGGAAGGAAGGCGAAGAGGACCCTGGGTCACCTCTCCCCGGGCGGCGACTCCCGTCCCGCCCGCGGAGCACCCCGCCCTGTACTTCCCCTGACCTCCAAGCTCCCGGCCATGGCCTACGCGCTCCCCCACTCTGCCGCGACGCTCTGGCTGGTGCTTCGGGAAGGGGACTGAGTCTCCTCGCTCCTCCAATCCGTGCAACCCCTTCCCCAATCTTTCTATCAAGCACCCTCGCCTCCCACTCCTCTCCCACTACACCGCGAAGTCCACTCCACGGGCAACTTTCCAGCAGTGGCGGGGTGGGCAGCAGATTTAGAAATCCCCAAACGGAAAGTCCCGCTCACAAGGTTCTGTCCAACGAATCAGGGCTAGGCAAGGGTCCAGGAGGAACGGTGGGGCACGGAAGGAAAGAGCCCGAGAGTTCCGGCTGTCGGGTGAGCCCCCGGCAGGGCGCCCGCCCGCTGCACCTTCGGAGCCCAGCTGTGCACGCGCTGTACCTGAGACATCCTGGCCGGCTTGCAAGAACTCCACAGAGCCCGCGGAAAAGGCGAGGAGTAGGAAGCGATCGCACAGTCTGAGCTGGCAGGCGCCTTCAGAGGCGCGGTCTACTAGTCCCAACTCTGCTCGGGCGAGGACCGAGAAGCCAATCAGAAGCCAGCTCTGCGCTAGGGGCGTGCCCAGCCCCCGCCGCGGCGCCAGCCCCGCCCGAACCCACGTGGGCCTGCTCGCGCATGCGCTGAGAGGAGCCGAAGGGGACGCCGGGAGCAGGTGGGGACCGCGGAAGTAGGGCGTTTAGTCCAGAGGTCCAGAGTTGGTCGAGAGTTGTGTTCAGTCCTGGGCCGCTGTGGGGACGGCACGCGGGGGAAGGGGAGGGGACGGAGATCGAAGAGCGGAGATCCTTATATTTCTTTTCTTTCCTTAAATCTCTTGCCTGGCAGGAAGAGGCCGGAAGTTACATCTTTGGAAAAGTAAACTCTCAGACCTGGGGATGGCAGGCGGGACCCGCTCCTCTCTTGGGGTCCTCTAGAGGAGACCCCCTGGGATGGTCCCTGGTGACATGCGTGATGGTGGAAAGCTGGACTGGTCTCCAGAAAGGCGAAGCCGAGGCCTCTTCCTCGGAACTTCTGGCAAGTTCTTTGACTTGCCTGTGGCCTTAGTTTTCAGTCCTGTATTGCACGTTTATGTTTGTGGTGCATTTCTCCATCTAGTGCGTTAAAGGCAGGGACAGTATCTTATTTGTCTTGATGTAACAAACTTGGATGGGACCAGGTGCTCAGCAAATATTTGTTAAATGAATGGCTGTTTATTGAACTGTTGGGTGTCTTGCACTGTTCTAGACTTTGGGAGACAGCAGTGAACAAAACATTGAATCCCTGCAATCTTGCAACTTAAAGTAGGGACGGTAGTTTATACAGTAAGTTAAATATAGAGTTATTTAGGGGCTTAGAGAGTTGGAAGTTTATAGTTTTAAATAGGGGAAGGGGAGTATTGAGGGAAGGTGACATTTGAGAAAGTTCCTCAAGGAGGGGAGGGAGGATTCCAAGCTGAGAACAAGTGTAAAGGCGTGGGCAGGGAACCAGGGGAAGAGAAGAAAGATGAGGCTGGATAGTTCTGGAGGTGGCAGGCTGGCTAGGTGATGCAGAAGTTGGCCATCACAGGGACTTTGACTGCCATTCTGAGTGAGATGGGAAATTGTAAGAGGTTTTGATCAGAGGATGAGGAGACTGAGGGGAATGCCTTTGCAAGATTGTTGCAGAGGCTAATCTCCATGGGAACAGAAAGGAGCAGCACAGGTGTATGGAAGTGTTTTAGGATCGATGCTTAAGCTAAAGGAAGACTTCTCTGGCAGTGGTTACAAAGGAACTGGGTGAAGAGAGGGAAACTGTGGAAAATTATCTGGAGATCATTAAAAAAGCAAAATCATACCTCTCTAATTCCTAATTTGTGGCAAGAGGGCTGGACTACAAATCTCTGCCTTCCCTATACCTCCCCCGCCACCCACAACAGGGAAGGTAGAAGCTTTCAGACTTGCTAACTTAATGTAGGACAGGTTTTATGGAATGTTTGGGAAGAAATGAAGATGCAGTAGGGAACAAATCTAGAATTTTCAGTCTAAGAATAATTTTGTTTGAGAAAGGAAAACCAAACAAATTAACAAAAATCGTGGCGTTAAATATGGGGAAAGTACACTGAAGTGTAAGAAATGCAAGTTTCTTTGAAAATCACAATTCAGAGGGGCTTTTTCCATTTAAGTCCTGGATTTGATTTTGATCTGCTTGGTCCTTACAGCTTCCTTGATGGAAACTCAGATTATTGCTTGTGTGGGCAGATTTGCAGTCAAATACATCTCCTAGTCAGCAGGTTTTAAGTTAGGGTATTGCCGAGGTTATATACCTTAATAATGCAATTATCTATCGCTTCTCAAAGATCAGTTGCTTTACCTTAGTTTTTTAGTGTTTAGTTTTAAAATTGTGTATGTGTTTGTGATAGGATCTCACTCTTACCTAAGCTGGAGTTCAGTGGCACACTCTTAGCTCTCTGCAGCCTTGAACTCCAGGCCTCAAGTGATCCTCCCACCTCAGCCTCCCGTGTAGCTGGAACTATGGGCACAACCACCATGCTTGGATAATTTTCTTATTTTTGTTTTTTGTAGAGTGGAGTCTTGCTGTGTTGTTGGTCTTGATCTCCTGGGCTCAAGTGATCCTTCCACCTTGGGCTCCCAATGTGCTGGGAGTACAGGTGTAAGCCACTGCGCCTGGCCTTGCTTGAGTATTGCTTTTCATAATTCTGAGAGTGCAAGATCCTTACTCTGTTTATGTCCTGGTTAGCAACCGTAACATGTTGTAATTATTTTATTTACAATTATTTTAATTTACTTTTCTACTGTCTAACCCCCTGCCCCTACCTCCCACCAAACAGTCACTGCTGTATTTTCAAGTGCCTGGCACTTCTTAGGCACTCAACAAATAGTTGTTGAATGAATAAAGTGTTTTTCTCTCTATGAAGATGTATTCCCATCTGATCTAACTGTGAACTTGGAAACCATCTAAATTTGTTAGAACTGAATGTAAAATTATTGGCTTGAGTAAAGTAGATGAACTCTGGTACAAGAACCATGTAATCTCTTTGTGCCACTCCCAGCTTTAGAAGGAGAGCACCTGGAGATGAGAAACCTGACCAGCCAACTTGTCAGCCATATCGACCCTGCCAATCGAGAGAGGCCATTGTCATTGTTATAGTTTGCCTTCACATCTGGGGATACCACTTATTTATTTATTTATTTATTATTTTTATCATAGGTAATGCTCTTGTCTACGGTCTCAGCATAAAGCCAGATGGCCAAGATCTCTCTTTCTCTCTCTCTGTCTCTCTCTCTCTCTCCCCCCCCACTTTCTCTCTTCCTCTCTCCCCTCCCTGCCACCTCTCCCTCTCCCTCTCTCTCCCTCTCCCCACCTTTCTCCCCCTCCCTCTCTCTCTCCCCCCTCCCTCTACTCCCTTTCTCTCTCCCTCCCTCCCTCCCTCTCTATCTATTTATCTATCTATCTGTCTATTTTTTTTGAGATGGAGTATCTTGCTGTGTTGCAGTGGCACGATCTTGGCTCACTGCAACCTCCGCCTCCTGAGTTCAAGCAGCTCTCCTGCCTCAGCCTCCCACGTAGCTGGCATTTGAGACATGCACCACAAAGCCTGGCTAATTTTTTGTATTTTTATTAGAGTTGGGGTTTCACCGTGTTGGCCAGGATGATCTCTATCTCCTCACCTCATGAACCGCCCACTTCTGCCTCCTAAAGTGCTAGGATTACAGGCATGAGCCACCATGGCTGGCCCGATCTATCTGTTTTTTTGAGACAGAATCTCACTCTGTTATCCAGGCTGGAGTGGAGTGGCACGATCATGGCCCACTGCAGCCTTGATTTCCTGGGCTCAGTTGATTGCTCCCACCTCAGCCTCCCCAATAGCTGGTACTACAGGTGCATGCCACTATGCCTGGCTAATTTTTTTGTATTTTTTGAGGAGGTAGGTTTTTGCATGTTGTCCAGGTTGGGCTTGAACTCCTGGGCTCAAGTGATCCCCCTGCTTCGACCTCCTACGGTGCTGGGATTACAGAACTGAGGTGTTGTGCCTGGCCCTGGCAAGATATATTAATAAGTGAAAGCAGTTCTTGCTCAGTGGGTAAGAATAATACTTTAATATTAAGTTTCTTAGTATAAATGAAACCTCTATTTTCTAAAAGCAACCTGATCATCAGAAAATGAACTACAATTACAGGAGAGCTTCCTAGTTGCTCTAGTAACTAGAGTTACTAGATGGCAAGGGTTAGCGCATCCACAAATAACAAATTACATTTATTCTGTATTTTCTTTCCAGTTGCTTGGAATGTGACTCCTGTGGCAAGACTCCAGCAAAGCTGGAAGAGACTAGTTTTAAAGGGAAGAAGGCACTTTGGAAATGCTTCTGGATAGGATTGGGGAGGTATGGGTGGAGTGGAGTTGAGGGCTTTGCGAAGGCTGAGGGAGGTGAGAGTTGGTGTGTGTGTGGGGCGTGGGCTAAGAATGAAGCCTGGCTTTCCTTATAACTGTGGTGAGAGGAGGCCTGGCAGCTGGAGGTGTTAGCAAGCCCTTTGCCATTCTTATCCTCTCCTTCCTCTGGGTGTTCATCTTCAGAGGAATTGCAGCAAAGTGGACACGAGAGAAGAGTGAATGTGTGTGGCATGCACACGTGTACCATTTTCTTCTTCGTCGTCTTTCTACCTGGCCAACTTGGACTGGGGGTGGCTAGGGCTGAGGTGGTTAGCACATGCACATGTTCACGTTTGTACCATTTTCTTCTTCCTCGTCTTTCTACCTGGCCAACTTGGACTGGGGGTGGCTAGGGCTGAGGTGGTTAGCACATGTGCATGTTCACATTTGTACCATTTTCTTCTTCCTCGTCTTTCTGCCTGGCCAACTTGGGCTGGGGTTGGTTAGGGCTGAGGTGGTTAGCGCATGTGCATGTTCACATGTGTACCATTTTCTTCCTCCTTTCTGTCAGGCCTGCTTGGGCTGGGGGTGGTTAGGGTTGAGGTGAGATGCAGAGAAGGTTTGGGAGTGGAAGATTCTGATAGGGAAGTGTCCTAGGCTGGCTGGGAGTAAGAAAGGGAGGACTTCCTTTACAAATGCTTCTCCATGAGTTGATTGTACACTGGTCAGGTGCTGCCTGCACTCTGTTTAGAAGCATTCATGATTATGGGCAGAAATAATGAAAATATATTGAGTTCAGTACTGAGTTCTTGTTCAACTTCATACTTTAATAAAAATGTGCTAGTATATATATTCCCTTCTAAATCTACATTGTCTTCTACATCTTTGCCTGTTTCTCTGGCTCCTAGCTATGCATGACAGACATCTGGAAAATGCTTCAAAACTAGGTTGTTAGAGATGAATTTTCTTAGTAAAATATTCTGCCTGTCAACAAGAAAATTAGAAATGCAGC